ACCTTAATATGCACCGTTGGTCCCATTCTTGTACGCCCTCGTTTGCATGAAGTCGTGGCCGACTCCTCTACCCCTACCCTGTCCCCTATCGGGACCTTCTCTCGGCCTTGGTCTCCAAGCAGATCTCGAAAAACTTCTAGGCACCTGCTGCTTCTTTGCCGAATAGCGTCACGAGGAGCAGTTGAAGTAAACCTTTCCTGTAAGCTATCCCAGCTCCACTTGGGCAACCTGGTGGCAGTAGTATGTGCCGACCATGCGATGGTGGCCGGTCTGGCAGAAGGAGGTGAATGGAGGTGACAACGAGTGACGCGATTCCTCACCTTTGTTATTGCATACATTTATGGAATTATCAATATCGACAATGCGGGGGTTGAGGGTGGCGGCCGTGAGCAATCACCGCCGTTGTTACCACCCGGCAAATCGTTCGCTGTGCTGACGAAAAGTTTTCGTTCATCGCGCTGCTCTTTTTGAGAGAACTGGTTCCTCGGGCGCAGATAATCATTTTCCCACTGTTTGTCACAGGACTGACTGCGCCAACTGCATACATACATGTGTGTGGGCATGCTCCTCCACGTTACTACTCCCTGACACCTTTTCACCAATCCCAGGACCTATGAACCTGATTTTATGAGCGATTCGCTTCTCCATTGCTGACTTTTTCACAGTCCTTATTTTTCCTTTTCTTTTCATTTCTTGGCCTTTTTTAGAAATCTTCTGTTTTTGTGAGCTGGTTGTGTGCTGAACGGCGCTATAGCAAGATATGGGGGCAATGTGGCGACAATGCATTTGTACCGGCATAAAACTTGGAACGGGTCTAAGCCATAGGCGTGGGAGGAGAGACTTTAGGACGTGTGAGCCATTTTCATTCTCCCAAAATTCCTGCCCCTTCTAGGCTTATGGCTTGTCCTTGAGGATGCCCCTCTAAATTGCGATAGCGCCCTCCGATTTCCTTGTTCAACTCTAAGGTTAACTTTGTTTTTTCAAACCCTTTTGATGGATTATGATAGAATTTGCTGACATTAATTTTGTCCCATAAACTCACATTTGTATGCTTTGTCACCTTTAGTTCCTGTCCGATCGATTGATGATCTTGGTTACTGTTCCATAGATTACTTTACTTTGTGTTCAGGAGCGGAATTTGAGAGCTATCGCAAGGAACGGGGGCATTGTAGTGGCATACAAACGGAATCGCGTAAAACATGACTTTTTCTGTTAAAAGTGGGACCAAGCCTTAGGCGGGGGAGGAGAGGCTCCAGGTGCGTCAGCCATTTTCATTCTCCCGGAATTCCTGCCCCTCCTAGGCTTAGTCCTAGAGGATGCCCCCATATAGTGCGATAGCGCCGGCACTTGATTGGTTCTAGAGACAGTTTTCGCCATTTTCATACGTAAAATCCAATCTCGTCGAGCTTATCTGGCTATTCCTTCCTCGAGAGATGGAAAGGCTGGTAAGTAGGACAGGGGTGGGGAGGATGAATGCATTGTCTACCATGGCTGGCCCGGTCATACATGCCAAATAAGCTTTTGTCGTCTTCACTCTTCTGAATGAACTGTATTCTGCATTTCTGAGGGGGATTTTCAAAGCCAGCCACTTATGCAGCTCCTTAAAATTAAGGAGGGCTTGGGGGGGGGGGTTCGAGGGGGGGCAAGGGGGAATAATCGCTGCTTTTGGTACATATGAATTTGATTTAGCGCCAACAGTAAGTCCCGAATAAGAAAAAGACCAAACAAAATT